GAGGGCGCTCGGGGGGCAGGTGCTCTCCAGGCTGCGGATCAGCGGACCGAGATGGGCTCCTGGCACACGACGTCCTCACGAGGGCGCTGCCAGGCCGGCTCCCGCGTGGGGTGCAGCGCGCCTGCGTGGGGTGCAGGCTGGCGGTCGCCCCTCCTGAGCGCGTGGGTGTCGCCCACAGGGCCAGAAGCCGCCCGCAGGCCTCCCGCCGCACCAGCAGCCCCGGGCCGGCTGAGAACACTCCGGACCCCACTCCCGTCACCCCCACAAGAGCCCCCACTCCCGCTCGCAGCCTGGCCTCCCGCTCAGGGACTCTTCACGCGGGGGGCAGGGGCAGGCACGCGACTTCGACTCCCGCAGGCTGTGACTCCCCGAGCGGCCAGCCCGCCGCCCCACCCCAAGTCTTCTGCCCCCAGAGCGGCCAGCAGGCCACTGGGTCACCCTGGTACCCCATGGCCCCAACCCAAGTCTTCCGCCCCGAGAAGCCGCTGCTTGCGGGGGCGAGGTGTGGAGGGAGCAGCCCTCCCACTGGGGTATATCATGAGCCCCCCGCAGGCAGCCGACCGCCCCCTTTCGGTCCACTTCCAGGTTCAGGCTCATGTGGGGAGTAAAGGTCAAAGGCCAGCGGCTGCTCCTGCTGCAGACTGGGCAAGAGTCCCTGCGCCCCGCCCCGCCCCCCCAGCCCTTCGGGAGGCCCCGAGGCCTCGCCCCAGAGGGAGGTGGCCTGGGCTCTGGGGGCCCACGTCTGCCACAGCCCCGCGGCCCCAGCCACCTCCTCGCCCGACGGCCGCACCCGGGTGTCTCCAGTGGACCGGCCACGTGAGGTCGCCAGCAGGAACACTGGGCAGCCGTCTCACACAATGTTCCTCGCAGGGACCAAGTAAACAAGTCCACGCCCTCCGCTGGGCAGCGGGTCAAGGGTCAAGCAGCCGTCCGGTATTGGTGCCAGGGATGAGCCGCCAGTTTAGGGAGCCCGGGCCGGGAGACCAGTGTGCCCCAAGGCGGCTTGCACCCCAGGGCGCGCAGGGGGACACGGCACACTCAGCATGGGGGCTGGGGTTTCTCTCGCGTGGGCCCCACCTGCGGTGCCTGGCAACCCCGGCACCGTCTGCAGAGCCACCACGACCTGCCCTGCCTGGGGGGGCCCTGCCTGGGGGGCCCTGCCTGGGGGGGGCCCTGCCTGGGGGGCCCTGCCTGGGGGGGCCCTGTCTGGGGGGGTTGCAAAAGGCAGGTGAGATCAGAACAGGAGCTGTGCCGCTGGCCTTTCTGGCTGAAGCTCTGGGCAGGACTGCGGCCAGAGGCAGGCCGTGAGCCGCCATCTGGGGAGCAGGGGGCGAGGAGCCCCCCATTTCCTGCCTCCCCCGACTATCACCCAGCCCCTGCCTGTCTGATCCAGCCTTCATCTATCCCCTGTGCTTCTCCTCGCCAAACCTGACACTCTTTACTGACGCGGCTATCCCCAAGCCCCTCTTGCCTCGTTCCTGAAAGCCCCCTGCACCCCAACTCTGCAGGCCCAGCTGCGCTCTCCTGGGGCCGTCCCTCCAGCCCTCCCAGAGTAAGTCCACCTCTGTCCACCCCTCTGCAGAAGGGGCCAGGCCGACTGGTTTCTTCCCAGTGTCCATCGCCTCCAGCCAGCCGAGCTCAGAGGCCACGCCGAGGGCAGGGAGGTCACTGCCGGATCACGGCTGAGCGGCTACATGGGGCGGTCAGCCCCGCGCCCAGAGCACTGCCCTCTCGCTCACTTGGTTCTCAGGGTCGCTGCCCAAGGCAGCGGGCAGGACAGCCGGCCTCCCGCCGAATCGGCGTCAAGTGCCAGGCCTGGCTTTCGTTAGCCAGGAACTTGCTGTTAGGAGAAAGTCGGAGCCTTCTTGTAATTCCACGGATGGACGCTGAGGTCCACAGCCTCGCCTCGGGCAGCTCCAGGCCTTGCATAGCCGCCACACGAGGCTCAGTCAAGACCCGGGGTGCCTCCCGCTCCCCGCAAGAGGAAAGCCGCACGGAGGGAACTGGCTTTCTGCGGTGGCTGCATAATGGAGCCGACGAAAAAGAAGCCTGGAGCAAGTGACGGCTCTAAAAGCCCGCAGTGAAGGCCCGGCCGCGGGCCGGCCTGGAGACCACAGGGGCGTCCGGAGTCTTCCCGAGGCCACTGAAACAGGACCCAAAGGGGCCCCTCCGTGTGGGTTCCGGAGGCCCAGCCAAAGCAGCAGTCCACACCCCACGACCCGGCTCTCAGTACTCATCACGTTGGCCCATATCTGGGGGTCTTTCCTGTCGCCCCCAACCCTGGGGATGGCTGCCTGTGGGGGCCACTCCAGCCTCCTGGGGACTATAGTGAGAGCTTCCACCCCCCCACACCACTTCTCTAGCCCACCGGAAGCCATCAATCAGGCTGACAAAGCAGGGAGCACTTCCAGAGCTGCACCCCGTCTCCGCCATCACCAGCGCTTTTCCGGGGACACCAGTGGTCTGACCTTGCTGGCTTTGCACAGCTCAGCCCTTCCCCTAAACCCTGGCGCTGACACCCCTAAACCCTGGCGCTGAAGCTTCACCGCCAGCCCCCGTTGCTGCACCCCTGGCCAAAGAGCGCGTTCCCGCAAGCAAGCCACCTGTTGTCACTGGGGGGGCCCCCAGAGCGCTCTGGGGGCTCCCCTCCCGGCCCTCTGTGCTGGGTCTGACTCAGCTTCCCGGGAACTGCACGCCACGGGGGTTCCCGGGGGGTCCTCGCAACAAGCCCAGCCCTGCAGATTAAGCTTCTGCATAACTTTCTGATGAAATAAATTCTTGGCTAAATTACAAGCCCAAAGCCAGCAAGGCCCCCACTTGGTGCCACGTTTCAAAGGAACAGCGGGGGGCATCGCCCCCTCGTGGCCGCGGGGAGAAGCGCAGCCCTGGAGAGGCGGTTCTGGGCCTGGGCTGCGGTGAGCGGCCTTTGTCCCTCGGTGACTTCGCCTTTGAAAAGTGACTCAGGGGAAAGACAAACAGGGTGGGGGCATGGGTATGTGGGGCCGGCAGGTGAAGGGGGCGCGCCAGACGCCAGGCCAGGGGAGGAGGCACGGGCCACGGGCGCCTTGGGGTGGGGCCGCAAACTGCCCGATGGGGCCCCTGACCAGGGCGGTTTAAGAAAGGGCTTCCCACGGGGATTACCGCGGAGATGGACAAGACACAGAACGATGTAACAGCAAACTATTATTTTTAAAAAATGGCTTCCCCGAGGCCCCTCTGCCTGCCCGAGGCTGCCGTTGCAAGTGCAGCTCGGACGCCCCAGGCCCGACCCGACAGACTGCAGCCGTGGGGGCACCATGGCCGCCGCTGCGGATGTGTCAGGCCTCTGGGTCAGCGCCCGCCCGGCAGCCCGGCAGCGAGGCAGAGCAGGGTGGGCGCGGGAGGCCCAGGGGCCAGCCAGGGGCACCGGCCACACGCACGGAGCAGTCTCCCGTGGCCCGGCCCCCACACCGGCTCTGCGCCCTGGCCGGAGGAGGGAAGGCCGCCAGGGCTCCGCAGGCTGAAGGGCGGGGGCTCCTTGAGTGAGGAGCCAGGGCTTCCCGCTGCGCTGCCGGCCAGGGGTCCCTCCTGCCTCCTGTCCGTTCCAGCAGGCTCTTGGCCCTGACCACCCAGGCCGGCTCCCGGGGCCCCAGCTCCTCCTCGGGCTGTCAGGGCGAGACAGCGGAAGCTGAGGTCCAGTGGGGGCGGCACCCCGGCCCGTGTCCCCACTGCTGGCTGGCTGAGCTCCCGCAGGGCTGCCAGGCCAGGCCCAGCTGACCCTGTGCAGTGGGCAGCCGCAGAGCCAAGTCGCCTGCCCAGATGGACCAAGCCCACAGCGAGCAGACTCCGCACACCCACTCGGTCAAGGGGGCAGCCGCGGGGCTTCCAAACCTGACAGCGGCCGCCCACGCAGAGCACAGCGGAGCAAGTGGGGCTCACTGGCGAGCCCCACCCACGAGCGGCTAACGGAAAGGCGGCACCCCAGAGCCCGCGGAGGCCCAGAGCGCCCACACCTGGCACGGGCGTCTTCCGGCTCAGATCGCGCATGGCCAAGCTCCCGCCACCGCCGTCTCCTGGACGGTCCCGGCCAGACACCGGGGTGCTGAGCCCAGGCAGGTGGGAGTGTGGGACACCTGCATGCCCAGATGCTCCCAGGCCACCCACTGCTCCTCACCCCAACTTACTGCAGGAGGAATGAAAGCCAGAAGCAGCTGCCTCTGGTCTCAGCTGGCCATGGCAGGGGGACACGTCTGGGCCCCCGACCCCCAGTGCCCCTGCCCTCTACCCCGGTAGCTGCACCAGATGGGACTGGGTGGGTCTGTCAGGGGAGGGGAGCACGTGCTGGTGCGTGTTTTAGCAGGACAGGCAGGCGCCAGCTAGGCCCACATCCCAGATGCCTCCCCCATGAAGGGTGGCAGCAGCCCCAGCGTGCCCTGAAGCCAGTGACACAGCCCGGCCTGCCTTGCAGCCACCACTGACGAGGGCACACCTGGCCTGTTCCACATCGACGGGTGAGCCAGGAGCATGTGGATCATGGGGGGTCCGGCCGGCGCCCCCCGGGGTTGGTGGTTGTGCTGCGGCTGGGAACCCAGGCGGTGGTGCTGGGGGCCGTGGTCCTGGGCATGAAAGCCGCGGTGCCCGGCTCTGCCAGCGGGGGCCAGGAAGCAGTGCGGTCTCTGGCTGCCGTGGCCAGGGCCCAGACCAGCCGTCCTTTCCTGGCAATTTCACGGTAAAGCAAAGCGCTGCTTTCACACAGGTGACCAGCCCCACGCCCCCAGCCCCGCCCCTCCCAAGGCCACCCCCCCTCCCCCAGGGGGGCGGTGCCCACACAGCCTAGAGTGACCAGGCAGCACTGGAGCTGAGCTCAGGAGAGGCCCCCACCCCACGTGGACACCACGCCGCAGAGAGGGGTCCGACTCCTTCAATTTACGTCCTCACACGCAGCTGGCAGGCAGCGACTGGTCAGGAGAGAACCAAGCCATCCGGGAGGCCCTGGTCTGAGAGCCAGGCAGGAAGGAAACCAGATTTAAAAAAAATTTATTTTTACATCATTCTTCACTTTGTACCAAACCAGATTTTCGTTCCGTGCACACACAGCTCTTCCCGCCGCGCACCTGCAAAGAAAGCAGCGTCAGAACCCTGAGCTGTGAGCCCCAAGCATGCTCGGGGCTCAGCCCAGCACCAGGGGTGCCTGCAGACAGCGCCCCCTGGCGGCCCTGCGCTCCTTCCCAGACTGGGGCACCCCCCTTCCAGGCAGTCAGGGGTCTCCAGGCTGTAATGCCCCCCTGCCTCCAGCCCAGAGACAAAGCCCTAATAAACCTGAACCCCCACAAATCAACCACCGCCAACCTGTCTGTCCTTACATTTACTTGCCTCCCTCTCGCGGGACCCCCTCTCCTGACACCCTGACTGCACGCTGGGATCAGCCTTTACCCCACAGGGCCCCACCCCATGGGTCCCACCAGGAACGCTCCCCTGCTGTCCGCACAGAACTCCCCTCTGGTTCTGAACGCCTGCGCCCCTCAACATCCCGCCGGAGCAGAGGAGGCCCCACCAGGCACCGTCCATGGTTAAGCAGCGCCCGGGAACAGCGTCACCGGCTGGCTGAGGCAGCCTTCTCACGGACAGCATGAAACAGCGCCATTCAAAGGCTTGCTACAGTTAAAGGTGGAAGAAGTCAGGCGGACAGGCTGACCCGCGGAAGGCCGCCCAGAGGGCCAAGCTAACCTGAGCGAGCAGTTCCTGCCCCTGGGGAGGTGCTCCTCGACACCTGCCCAGGGGCCATGCACCTAAAACCCAGCTCAGCCTCAGGCCCCCGCACCTGGCTACATGCTCCGCTCCTGGGCGGCAGGTGCAGGCCTTCTGCAGCGCCCAGAGGGCCCTGCTGGGCAGCACTGTCCGTGCGGGTGTTCTGAATCCCACGTGTCCACACATCACCTCGTCTCAAACCTGAACTGTCCCATATCCTCAGGAGGGCTGTGCGGTCCGGCCCTTCCCCCTTTCAGCTGCTGTCCAGTGTCCACCCTGCTTTCTGGGCACAACCGCTTCCCTCACTCAGTTCCTGTACTAGACACCGGCTGGGCCTGGGCCTTTGCCCGCGCTGCCCTGCCCTGCCCAGCCTGCCTGTGGCGCCCCAGCCCGGCCAGTCCCAGCTCTGCCCCGGCCCTCCAGGGGTCCCCCTGCGGCCACGCCCTGACAGGCCCCCGCGGCGAGGTCACTGCCTCTGCGGTGCCAACACTTAACCTAGTCTCGGACACCGCCCGCAGCTCCCCGCAAGCAGGCCGGGCCGTGTGGTCGCCGCCCCCCCCCCAAGGTGTCCGGCAGGGCCTCCACCAGGGCCGCCGGGGGGCTCCGCGGCGCGCTGTTTGCAGTATCATACATGACCATCAAACTGCTGCTAGAATGCTCACACCTGTTACTGCAAATCCAACCCCAGGCCGAGCCCGGGGGCTTACTGTAGGTCAGGGGGGGGCCGCCTGGTACGGGCTGGGCCGCGCCGGGCGCGTCCGAGCACACAGGCGCCTTTCCCCAGACCCGC